AAACCATTTGTTTATAAAATTATGCTATATTATCAGTTAATCATTTTACTAATAAACCTTTTTTAAAAATAAGGGGGAGAATGGAATTGGTAGAATTTTATCTATAGGGAGGATGATTATTTCATGTAATTTTTGCCTGTCCTTGTCATGGTTTTTGTTTGAATCATATTATAATTAGAGGAGACATGGTCATCATCTACTTTTCATTTTATATCAAAGAAATAGACCCAGAATAATAGTGATAATGCTCAGTTCTGTAGCTAGTACTGTATGGAGAGGCAGAACTATGATCCTGGTCATTGGATCCTTACCTTTCTGAATTCTTGAGAAGATAAAGAGCCTTTTCTCCTAACTGAAGCAACTTGTGAATAATGGATGCACTATGAGAGCTTACCTGTCAATGCTGTGTGCTTGAACTAGTTTGTGAGTAGAGACAGGAACAAAGTTGTATCATTAAGCAATTGTGTATGATGTTTTGTTGAAAGAAATTAGAATTCTGGGAGACTTGTTGATAGCCTTTGAATATCAGATGTACTGTTTATATTGGGTTATATGTAGTGAATACTAAGGATGTTGAAGATCAATAGTGGTCTTGTGTATATAGAAAGAACATTATATTAAGTGTACCATTTGTCTTTTGAACTCCTTCTTGTCTTACGAACACAACCAGGGTTTCGAACCGGTTCAGAACAGTTCAATACCTGCCATTGTAAATAAGGGCCCTATATGCATTGCATAGCAACCAAATCTGTTGTCCGTGGTATTTTGCTCTGAATAGGAAACAAACAGCTGTGCTTCATTCAAGGATGGTGGCCCATGGAACTGCTTTGAATGTGTGTTGCTCTCCAGAGTCCTTCCAATTAATGTTGCTTTCCAAAAGCCATAGCCCTTCCTCCTGAAAGTTTCAGGAGCCTAAGGAAGGAGCTGATAAGGTGGTTGGATTATTGGCAAGACTCTGGAGAGCAACACATATTCAAAGCAGAATGGTGGGCTGCCATCTTTGGATGAGGCATAGCTGTTTGTTTCCTACTCAAATCCAAATACCACAGGCAACAGATTTGGTTACTATGGAATGCATACAACTCCCTTGTTTACAATGGAAATTACTGAACCATTTTGAACCAGTTCGAAGCCCTGGTTCATATCTTGGTTCTACCACTTACTGGCTCTGTGACCTTAGGTGAGCTACTTAGCTTCTCTATGCTTCACTTCCTTATATGAAAAGTAGTGATTATAATTGTGGTAGTTAAGGTTTGTGTCAGCTTGGCTGGGCCTGGTTTTGAGTGGCTGGGCAGCTAGATGTAGTATTCTCCATGATGAGACTGGTAACCAACTCCATGGTGGAATCTACTGCGAGCACCTGGGTAGCTGCTTTAGGAAAAGCTGGTCTACTTCTAGTATATAAGGAGCAACTTTGAGGAAGGTCTCTAGCTTATGGCACACTTGAATCCTACATGTAACTGAGTCATTATTATTCAGCAGTCTTCCATGTTGTCTTCCAGTCTTGGGACTCTTAATGGACTTGAATCAATGGCCTTCTTGTGATTTGGTAATACCAGGACTGTGCCTCTTTACTTGTTGACCGTGGGTTTGTCAGCCTCAGCAGCCAGCAGTTGCCTGAGTGAAAAAAGTCTCCAGCCTCAGTGGGCTAGGAGCAAGAGGCAGAACTGAAGCCCAAGGTTAAGCAGCTTTCACCCAGGCCCTAGAGCCTGGCACTTTGAACTCAGACTTCTAGCCTCCAAAACTGCAAGAGAACAAACTCCTGTTTGTTAAAGCCACCCATTTGTGGTATTTTCTTTTAGAGCAGTATGAAGTAACCAAAGCAATAGTGGTTGTTGTGAGGATTGAGTTAAAAAAAAAAAAAAAAAATACACTGCCATCGAGTTGATTCTGACTCACAGCGACCCCCATTGGGTTTCTGAGGTGGTAAATCTTTATGGAAGTAGATTGCCCCCAGTCTTCCTTCCATGGAGTTGCTGGTAGGTTTGAACCACAAATCTTCTGGTTAGTAGTGAAATGCCTTAGGCACTTCACTACCAGAGCTCCTTGAGGATTGAGCAGGGTAATATAAAGTATTTAGAAAAGTACCAGGTATCTAGTAAAGGCTATCTTAGCCATTTTATCTGCTGCTCTGGGTTACCAGTTTTCAACCTCTGCTATTTTTTTCTTTGCAATTTGGTTTCTTCTTCTCTCTTATCTTCTCATCATATGTGTGGATCATCCTTCAAGAGGATGCATATAGATCCAGCTCATTTTTTAAATTCAGGTTAACATATATACTGAAGAGTGCAAATCTAAAGGTGCTTACTGATCTGTCATGTTAGAAACCAGTATCTTATTTTTGATTCAGTTTCTTGACATTTGAGTGTGTGCTTGACACTGGTCTAAGCACTGACGTACAGGAATGAATAAGGTGTTAAGTCAGCCATAGATTGATTTCCTGTATAATTCACAAAACTTTGCTGAATACCCTTAAGTGATTTTACTAAGTTTAATGGTATAAACACATGTCATTTACTTTTAGGGAGCAATTTCATGGAACAACTTCCTCTTCACTTCTTTCACCTAAGATGTTGAATCTATCATGTATATTTCTTTGATGGTTTAGGTTTTTCTATCCTGGCAAAGATGATTATGATATGGGAGTAAGCAAAACAAAGCAAATGTGTGAAAAGCTTATAACTTCTCATTCTCCACCCCCTTCTGCCCTTTAAAGGAGATCTGGTGGCACAGTGGTTAAAGGATTCAGCTGCTAACCAGAAGGTTGGTGGTTTGAACCCACCAGCTGCTCCACAAGAGAAAGATAAGGCAGTTTGCTTCTGTAAAGATTTACAGCTTTGGGAACCCTATGGGGGAGGAGCTCTGGTAGCCTAGTGCCTAAGGCACTTGACAGTTAACCAGAAGGCTGGTGGTTCAAACCCACCAGCCACTCCTCGGAAGGAAGGTTGGGCAGTCTACTTCCATAGTGATACTGCCTCGGAAACCCAAGGAGTGGTCGCTATGAGTCAGGTCCAGCTTGGTGGCACATAACGACGACAACATGGGGCAGTTCTACTCTGCCCTATGTTGTTTGTTGTTGTTATGTGCCATCGAGTCAGACCCAACTCATAGCGACCCCTCCTTGGGTGTCCGAGGCAGTATCACTACGGAAGTAGATTGCCCCATCTTCCTTCCGAGGAGTGGCTATAATATGAAATTGACTCGCAGTGGATTTTCTTCCCCTTTAAGCTTTTCTCTGTAGATTTAGGTTGAGTTTTATAACCCATCTTTGGTGGGAGCACAGGAAGAGACAGAAACTCTGAAATACTGAGAATGAAAAGTGGGAAAATTGTACAAGGTTTCAGAAAAATTAAGACCAAGGCTCCAAAACCTTTTAGAAGTTAATTTCCTACCAATTCTGCATGTATAGGTACACTAGTTTTTTACTCAAAACTTCTTTCTCCTAGGAAAGCTGGTTTGAAATTATTGTTGAAAATTAAGGTGCATTCATTTGTGGAAAGAAACTTAGGGCATTTCTACCTGCCTTCCGCCACCTCCCCCAACATCTGCTTAACCCCTTCTCTCTCTTACAAAGGACTTACAGTGGCTTGCCGAAGACATTTCAGAGACATATTTTAATTGTTTGAATAAGATTCCACCTTGACATTCTACTATCTAAATTCATTTGCACATAAAGAGAACACTATGCTAATGCTAAGGAAGGAGAAAGAAATTTTGTTGATGAGTTATGTGTAATTAGGTCCAGATGCATGAGGTTAACATACTTGAAAGCCTAGAGAGTGTTAAATATGTTCTGTAAAAATTAATGGTTTTCATAATAAAAAACATTTTTAATTTACAAATTTATAGTGGTTTTTTTTTTTTTGGATCAGTGAATACCCTCCTTCCATTTTCTTTTTCTTTCTTTAACAGTAAAAAAGGCCGGTTGTGATAAAGCAAGAAAGACATAGGTGGGAACCAGATCTTGGAAGACCTTGGTATCCTATACTAAAAAAGTTGAACTTACTTTCTACAAATTTTCAATATCTGCTATGTGCCAGGCAGTGGATTTATTGTAGTCCTGAGTGTTTGGTGTGCCATGATGTCCCTCTCATATTCCTAGGAAACCAACCAGTGGTTCTGAAGGGATCACTTGGGAATCAGCTGGGAAGCTGCTTTTCTCAAAGTATACATGTTCTTTGCTCTCCTAAACCTATCCCAACTTACATACCTGCCTGGTAGAACATATGTGCTTTGAAAAATCATTCCAGGTAATTTTTATCTCTCCTTTTTGAAAATCATTGTTATATGGACTGAGTTTTTCTTTTTTATATAACAAATGAATAAATGGTATGTGAAATTATACAATATTTTAAAAGTTTTGATACCCCTTCTTGTCTACCTCACCTCCATAATATTTTAACTTCTCTAATTATGTCCCGGTTACACTTTCAGCAAGAATTTTGTGCAGTAGTCATATTTAGAATTATATTTTATGACACTGAGAACATTAGTATGGGAAAACTGGGCTTACTCTTCCTAATTGTATCCTTAGGTTATTCCTTTTACTAAATAAATTCAGAGTGATGTCATTTATAGTGGTATATGACCTGTGTGGCAAAGACACACGATTTAAAACAACAACAACCAACTGGACTTTTACAAAATGTTTTCAATGGGAAAATACACTGTTGCTAACTTGTCAGAGACCCTGGTGAAAGGGAATAAGTAATAAAGGAGAAAAAATGGGTATATGTGTTTAACTTGTGGTTAAGCTGTTTGAGTTGAGTCAACAATTAAAACGAGTAGCCATTGTGGAGGTTTAAATTCTTTTCAATATAGCTTTAATGAAGCAGCCATTTTGTGTAATTGCACTTACAAAGCAGGGATTTGTGATTTCAGTACACCTAAGCAGTCATGATATTTATAACTTAATCACAGGATGTGATATTACAGATTAGGGGAGAAATTGAGAAATAATATGATACAATTGGTATATTGAGTATTTTTCTTTTTATTAGTGTGCCGGTCCAACAAAAGCCCCTGGGTCTGTTTGACTTGTTCAAGTGTCCACTGTGGAAGGTAGGTGATGGACTTACTCATTCACTACCCTACTTGCTTTTTAAAATTTGCCTTTATGCTTTATGCCAAACTTTTATTGATTTGAACGTATTTAGTACCATTGCTTAATGATAGTGTGTAATTCTCCGTGGGGCTTCCCTCTTCCAATAGAATCCCTTTGTTTAGTGATATTGGGACAAATCTAGGGGGAAAAACCGTTCATATTGATAGTCAGAAGAATTAGTTTGATGGTCAAGATAATCTAGTAATATTTGACTAGGAAATGAAACCTTGAATTAACAGTTTACCTTATGGTAGTTAATTAAGTCTTTTATGAGGGAAAAATTAAGTATACACAAAAGTAGAGAGTTAATATAATTAAACCTTGTGCTCTCATCGCCCAGTTTCAACAGTTACCATCACATGACCAAACTTGTTTCACCTGTTACCCCTTATGCCCGCCTTTACTGTCTTACTTTGAAATGAATCCCGACATCCTATCATTCTGTCAAAAAAACAATCCTGAAATATATACAGAGAAAGGAATTCCCTTTGAAAGGGATCTCACTATGGAGTGTATTATTAATTCCTGTTTAATATGTACCAAATGTTTCATCATTCCTTTGAAACATTTTGCTTCCAGTTAACTAGCCCTCTTCTCCACAAAGTTCAAGCCTGAGCATTTTCTCCCAGTTCTTAGCTTCAAAATAATATCATTTAAATATTTTAGTACTTCTTTTCTTCTAACATAAACTCAAATAAATATTAACCTTTGAAATTTTTAGCCTGGAAGTAGTACATTTATTTCTGCTGTTGTTTTAGCTTAGAAAATGCACTTTGAATTTACTTCAGAAATTAATAGCATACTGACTCATACAGGCTGAAATCTATATGGTATTTATCTAGAATATTTCCCCATTGTTATTTTTAAACCCTCATTGCATGAAGAAATCATCTTTGTTCAGTTAACTTTTGATTTTTCACATTTTTAGTCCTGGGATTGAGTGTTTTTTCCATGTACACTTAAGAGTACCTTTGGAAAATATTAACTGCATATCTTAATTGTGGCTGTTGTGGTTTTGAAATCTCTAGGATTTGGGGAACCTGAAAATACTTTGTACAGATAACATTTTTTAAAAAAAGAAGAAAAGTAGAAGCACTTAAATTCTGCACTTGAAGAGACAGATTCCTCTCCTAGATTTTGAGAGGTGAGAATTATAATGCGATAAAATTTCCCTAGCTCTGTTCTCCAGTTGTCTCATAGTGCTCTACAACCTAAATCTTGAAGGTCATATGCCAGTGAAAAGACCTGGCAAGCTCTCAGAAATTAGATTAACATTCTTAATAGCAAGCAACAAACAATTCTCTAAGTATGTTTTGGAAAAATAAATTGGAAATTTTCTAGACTCTGCAGGTGGGCTGTTTCCAATTATAAGCAGTCTTAAATTTAGAAATTCAACATGGTTTCAGATAAATAAGATTAAATAGATTAAACAGATAAGAAGAGTAGCCTGAATTTGGATCTCCATTTTACATAGCTGATTGGTTAATTTTCTGTTATCATGTATGCCTGAGTGTGGATTGCCAAGTATTCTGATTTTTCAGTGATTTTTAAGCTACTTGTCTGAAGTGAACTCTTAAACTGAATAGTCTTTTAGCTAGGAAAAATAGTTTGTCATCAGCATATTTAGTTATATATTCTATTGGTCTTCATGACACCATCATATCCCAGTTGGTTTTTGAATTTTTAAGATTGTTGTTAGCAATCTGTAGCTTATATATGTACATACATACTGAGATGCCTCCTCTTGTGCTGCAGTTCTAAGTGTATAGTTAAAATCTAAAACTAGATAAGGAAAATACTGTTTTTATGTTAGCCAGCTTAAACAAAACTGTTAATTTATGACATATTTGGGTATTAGCCAAAGCATTACTAATCTTAATGTCAGCAATATTTTATTACTGACATATATAGTAACTGCTTAAATATTCAGTACATTTAGACACCAGTGTTATGGTGAAATGAACTGTATGTGTACTTTATAAAGTTGATCAGTTTTCAGAGATTGGAAAGTAGTGTTATTATTATTGTTCCGTGTAGTTTTTTCTTTGATTCTGAAGGTACTCCTCATCCTAAACATTGCTATTGTCTTTCATGGTGTACAGTACTACAACAGGAGTATTATTAAATACATATAAACATAGAAAATTGAGCTTATAAGTTGCCTTAGAGTTTACTTCTTAAAATAAATATTGAGTATTTCCTGATTTGTGTAATAACATGTTGAAATATGTGCTTAATGTGACCACTTTCTAAGCAATTAATGTTTTTTAGATTCTGAATAAATAGTAGTTAAGCATATAAATGGGAACACTAATAAAAATAGTCACTAACATTCATTTCTAATGTGCCATCGATTAATCACCCAGCTACCCATGAGCTGTAGGTACTATTTCCTCCATTTTACAGATGAGGGAAACCAAGCACAGAGAGGTTAAGTAACTCACCCAAGCTCACATGGTCATGCTGTGACAAAGTCTGCTTTTGAACCGAGGCAGTTTAGTTTTTGAGCTTGTACTCTAAATTACTATTTTAAATTTTATTTTAGTCCACTTTTTGGACAGAGGACCCCTGTAACACCCACATGTTAGTTGTGTTTACTACTGTGAATATAAGAGGGAAAGAACACAATCAGACTTTGAGTTGAGGTTAACAGTATCCTGAATGCTTTTCTGGGATGCAGTGACTGGGTTTGAAGTTGATCTTTCTTTCCTATTTTCCCCAAGGTAAGTTTTGCTCCTGGTGCAGTTAAGGTGCCTTATGGTGAAAATGTCATCTTAACTCTCTGAACCTGCTTATTTTGGTTACATTTAACCAAAATTCGTTTTGACTATTCTGACTTTTCAAGTCAGCCTTGCTTTCTACAAATTGGCTTATATCTAGGAACTGGGAGATTTTTGTTTTATGAGGGTCGTCACAGCAATGGTCATTTACAATATTGTATGGTATTTAGGTGAAAGTGTAGATGAATTTGAGTGCATACCAGGTGCATTTGAGTGCATATTGTCATTTGGCTTGTTGTAATGCAATGATTTAATAAATCAGAGTTGGGAAATATTACAATTTTTTATGAAAATAGTCAGCCTTCTATTATCTTTGTCCAGGTAGAGAAATAACAGTTTATATAAGCTTAAAATGATTTTTATTTTGTGTGAATCATTTCCAAACAAACCCCTTTCAAAATGAGTGGAGCTGATTATTCAGGTGTTTACATAAAAGATCTGAAGCTATATTGATTGATGAGAAAGAGATGGGAGATTATCTTGTTTCCATATCTGACTCTCACATTTTATATTAAGCAGAAACCAGAGTAAAGCATGTGGCCCTGTGGGAAGTGGTTGAGTAATTTAGTTGACAAAGCTTGTCTTTGATACCGGCCTGAGTTTCGGGAGTGGGGGTGGGAGGGGTGTTAGTGGTCTAAGAAAAAGCTTAATAAAAAAGCTATAGGAAAAGCATCAGCAGATGAGTTTGTAAGTGATAATATCAATGGTATTAAAGCTGATTTACAAAGATAATGCCTTTCCTAGTCTGGCCTGAGTCTTGTATATAATTAAGAATTGCCTGTAATAGTTGATTGCAAAAAAAAAAAAAAAACACATATTTTAAGTATTCAGTTTAAGAAATCACTGAATGGATTGAGAATATTCTTTCTATTCTGGTTCGATTAACATGTAACATTTCAACTTCCAAAGCAGTATTTAGATTAAAATAAAATTTCATTTGGTTTTTGTAAGGTATGTGAATGGCCATGCAAAAAAACATTATGAAGATGCACAAGTACCCTTAACCAACCATAAAAAATCAGAAAAGCAAGATAAAGCTCAGCATACAGTGTGTATGGATTGCAGTAGCTACAGTACATACTGGTAAGTTAATATTTTCTGGAAATGATATTCCTCACTGTGTGGTGCAAGTATTCTCTCTTCTTCCCCACTCCCTTCCCCCACCTTTCTCAGTCTCTAAGCTGCTGCCACCACCCCCTTTCAGTCCTATTAGGATTCACGGGGGACTGGAGCCATCAGGAACGCCTGCCCTTATTCATTCCGTTTTTACTTTGTATTGTTCCTTTCAACATGTAGGCCTCCTTTTCTCTCCCACTTCCCCTGCTCCTCTTCTCCCCCAGTAAGCTTCAGGGAAATGAGAAGTGTGTGTTTCTTTGTTGTTGTTCATTATCATTCCTTTTCTTTCTTTTTTGTTTTTGTTTTTAATTGAAGGATGATATGATAAAATCCCATGTCACTACTCACCAGTTAACATTTTGTCATGTAAACCAAAACCAAACCCACTGCCTGCAAGTCCATTCCAACTCTTAGCAACCTTATAAGACCGAGTAGGACTGGCCCATAGGGTTTCCAAGGCTGTAAAGCTTTACCAAAGCAGTCTGCCTCATCTTTCTCCCAGGGACCTTTTGGTTAGCAGCTGAATGTGTTAACCACTACGCCACCAGAGCTCCTCTTTGTCATGTAATCTTTAAAATTTTCACTTCTTTATTTAAAAAAGTCGTTTGGACAGTTTTCCTTCTCCCAGCTCAGTTTCATTCTCTCCTTCTCCCCTAGAGGTAAATATCAAGAAATTCGTGTGTAGCCTTTTAGTCTCTCTCTATATACATACATACATACATACATACATACATATATATATATATATACACACACACACACACACATCTATATACATATATATGCATATGTATATATGTGTATATATATGTATATGTATATATATATGTATATATATGTATATATGTGTATGTATATACATATGTATATATATATTTAAAATTTTTTAAAAGGAGGAAAGGAGGTTGGTGACTGTTCTTTCTTTGCAATATAATATAGATATCTGTTTCATAGAAATAACAGGAGAATGTTGTCGTCGTTATGTGCCATTGAGTCGGCCCTGACTAATAGTGACCCCTCCTTGGGTTTCTGAGGCATATCGCTACAGAAGTAGATTGCCCAACCTTTCTTTTGAGGAGTGGCTGGTGGGTTTGAACCGCCAGCCTTCTGGTTAGCAGTCAAGTGCCTCAGCCAGAGTAGGTATCTATTTTTATGGCTTCATATAACGAGGCTACATTATTTACCCTACAAGTGATGTTTAACAATCTGTATCCATTCAGTATGCCCAAAATGTATATATTTTGTCATGTTAACTTCAGTGTGAAGCAAATTTCTTTCCTTGACTGGTAATGCTTCACTTGTTTTAATCAATTTGCTTTCCATTCAAGAGTTTGTTGACATTGAAAGGGGGAAAAAGCAAATTTACATTTAAAGGCTCCTTTTAGGGATATTTTTCCCCTGCCATACAGTCCTTGAATGTTATCTGAAGGCAGTACTGGACAAGAATGGGGATTTAAAGCTCAAATATCATTTTGATTCCCACCTTCTGTTAAGTTGTATCTTCTTTTTTACATTGTCCTTAGTTGATAATTGTATTATAGAAAGGTGTTCATCTAAAGAAGGAAGAAAAGGTTAGTGGTTTTCTAGGTCTTCTAAATTTTTACAGGTATAACATTACTGAATTTCGGCTACTGAATAAAATATCTTAAGGTTTAGTCATTCCAGTTACTGCTGTTTCATTGATCCTTTATGTGGAAGGTGTCCAGGCCTAAAAAAGAGACAAGCTGGAGATAAATGAAGATTTCCATAAAAATAAACTTCTTCCCAAGATATGCATGCAAGGGCCAGTGCTCACTTGTTTGTTGTTTGCTGTAAAGAAACACTCCTTCCTATGAAAGTTAAGCATTATTAGGGCTGTTGAAGTATTTTTGTATATATTTCCCTTTTCAGGACACTTATACAAGAATGACTTAGCTCCCTAATTTACACAGCCATGTGTTTGTACTTTAGACAACAGACATGAAGATCATTCTCAAAGTATCTCCAATCATTGTCATAGGTCATGCTAACCTGTGCATTTCAGATGTTGAAAGCATTCACTATTTTTTTTATTTTTATTTGTTTTACTTTATTTTTACTTCCTGATTTTTAGTTAGCAGTGTGTATGAATTGTTTAGTAGGAAGTTTGGAAACACAAGTAAATCTCTGTGCTATAAATTTGCAGTAGGTTTTCTTGCTATTTGTAAAATTATGAGGAAATAGTAACTTTTTTTTTTTAAGCATCTTGCTGTGCTTTAGGTGAAAATTTACATGGCAAATCAGTTTTCCAATCAATTGTACGTACACAAATTGTCCATGACATTGGTTGTGATCACCACATTGTGTCAGCACTCTCCCTATTTCCTCTCTGGGTTCCCTGTATTCATTTGTCCAGTTTCCCTGTCCCTCCTTGTCTTATTCTTGGTTTTGGGCAGATGTTACCCTGTTGGTCTGGTTAGTTGATTGTTCTGAGGAGCACATTCTTAGCGTTGTTTGTTTTATAGTCTCGTCTATTATTTGGCTGGAAGGTGGCCTGGCCTCTGTTCCTGTCTTCAGTTTGAAGTTAGAAGGTTTTCTTAGGGCAGTAATCTCCAGAGTTCCTCTAGTTTTTTTCTGACCAGAACAGTAACTCTTTGAGGAGATTTTAATAGTGGAGTAGAATTAAATTCATAGTACTCTTTAAATATATAGGTTTTATAGTTTCATGTCTTTATATATTATGTTTTGAGGGACTACTTATTAAATAGAAATTTGAATTTAATTAGTTTTATATTGGTATAATGTACTAAAGTACATGTCATTTCATGACTGAATTGGAATTAAATGGCAGATCTTAAACCTCGGGAAATATATGCCATGGCTTAGGCTTCTTGGCCGATTGCCAGTCTTTTGTGTGAAGTTATACAGAGCTGCAAGTGTGCAGACACCCAAAGCTTCTGAAATGTAGGAAGGGAGCTGCAGCTGGTCACATTACCGTCTCATTTATGGATTTTAGAGCAAAATGCCAGGGAATCACCATTATTACACAGATGGCTTAAAAGGAATCTGTGATATTTGCAAACCGATGAAGCTGTAGTTTAAATTAGCATTTTTTCCATACCTCACTATAATTAAGAAACAAAAAGAGATTTCTTCTTTCTGTGTGGTGTGCGTTTGTGTTATTTTCCAGTACACTTTTGTAATTTCACTTCAGTTTATACATTTTCCTTATATATAAACTTCTTGTGGTTAGACCAAGTGATTTGCTTCAGATATAAAATATTGATGTATTGGTTTAACCTACCTAATTTTGAATTACTATGCTTGTAGTAAAAATATTCTGATCTTAGCTAATGTTAAAGCCCCTTCCCCAGTGAGTTCTATGCTAGAGAAGTTGTAACATATTTCTATCTTTGTTTTCTCACTACCAGGAATCCCTGCCCTGTCCTATTTTTACATATATCCTTTGTGAGATTATCACTGCTCTCCATGCCATCTCCCCTAAACTCCAGTTGTAGCTGGATGTGATCTTGCCTGAGCTCTTGGTTCTTGGGATACTTGTAATTTCCTGCTCACATGTAGCTACTGGTAAATATCTCTGGGGTCTGCAGGAGCAGACCTTCATATCTCAGATCTTCATATATGCCATAGTACTCAGTGTCATGTGCAGTTGTTGTTGTTATGTGCTGTTGAGTTGGACCTGACTCATAGTGACCCCTCCTTGGGTTTCCAAGGCAGTATCACTATGGAAGTGGATTGCCCCATCTGCCTTCCGAGGAGTGGGTTTGAACCGCCAGCCTTCTGGTTAGCAGTCAAGTGCCTTAGGCACTACGCTACCAGACTCCCATCTTGGGCAAAGCAGGCAATATATGTTTGAAAGATCGAATTTTGTTAACTTCCAAAAATGGGGAGGGTTAAACCAAATCAATAATACTATGTCTTCTGATCATCTTGGAGGACTGAAAAGCCACAGAACATTTTTCTTGAGGAAGATATAAATCATGATATTGATGTTGTTATTGTTAGGTTCTGTCAACTCAATTTAGACTCCTGAGGACCCCATATGACAGAGTAGAACTGCACAGCGGGGTTTTCTAGACTGTAATCTTTACAGAAGCAGATTGCCAGGCCTTTCTCCCACAGAGCTACTGGTTGGGTTTGACCTGCTAACCTTTTTTGGTTAGCAGCCTAGTACTTAAGCATTTGCACCAACAGGGCTTTTTAATCATGACATTGTTGTTGTTGTTGTTATGTGCCGTCGAGTCGGCCCCGACTCATAGCGACCCCTCCTTGGGTTTCCGAGGCAGTATCACTATGGAAGTAGGATTGCCCAACCTTCCTTCCGAGGAGTGGCTGGTGGGTTTGAACCGCCAGCCGTCTGGTTAGCAGGCAAGTGTCTTAACCACTATGCTACCAGAGCTCCCAATCATGACATAGGGGAGCTATTTTATTTCTCTCCCAAGAAGGACACCCTCAGTTCTGATATAAGCAGGACATCTAGAATAAGCACATATTAACCAAGCAGAACAAGGTAAAATGGGTCACTGTTCCAAAAGAGGAAAAGCAATACCAAAAGGAATTATTTTGATTTGACATGAAATGCTTCTTTTGAGGAATAAATTAGATTAACCTGATACCAAGTTAGAGGTAAATGAAGATTTCAGTAAAAATGAACATCTTCCCCAGATTTGCATATAAAAGTTAGTGTTCAATTTAGTATTTCAGTAATACTTCCTTCCTTCTCCCAACCAGTGCAAATGGAATTTTGTATGGTATACTTTATTGTGATTGATAAGAAATGAAAATTAAAACTAAGAATTTTTATTTGATTTCTTATGTAGATAGACATTAAGAATTAGGTTTAAAATATTGAAGAATATGTAATATAAACTCACTGCCGTCGAGTCAATTCCAACTCATAGCAATCCCTCCTTGGGTTTCCGAGGTGGTATCTTTATGAAATTAGATTGCCCAGTCTTTCTTCTGGGGAGTACCTGGTGGGTTTAAAC